CTGCCTGGCCGCCGGAAAACGAATGTTTCGAACGGATTTCATGGGTCGGCGATCAACGGGCGAACTCGCAACTTCCGGAGAACAGGTGCACCACTGGCATGTCGTCGAATTCGTTAAGCTCCATGTTTCATTTCAAAATCTTCCCAAACCCTCTACGATCGACGCAACGCATTTCTCCCCGTATTCTGAGAAACAGAATAACCAAGAGAGGAAGCGCGGTATATCTTGTCATCGTGGCGACGAAAAAGCGTAGAAACGAATTAAAGAAGCGCTTTGTGCCCTTGTATTCTCGCGAGTGGCGAACCTTTGAACCACAGGACCCGCGTTAATCGCCACTTAATTCGGTTAATGTTCTTCTAAGAGTAAGCACGAGCTTTTTCCAACGTGAAATTACACTGTCCAATGTCCGTGTATTTGATTCGTACATCGTGTCTGTTCTTCGTCTGGTCTTCGTTGACCGGGTTTATGACACGCTCGCACGAGAAGGTTATTTTTGAGAACAAAGACGCTTCGTAGCTCCGCGAAAAAATAAGTAACTTCTTACAGAACAATGCCTTCAGAATTTTTACTTTTCCGCGTCCTCAATAACCGAAGACGTGTTATAAACCAGGGTTCCTGAAGGGTCAGTCCACACGTGCGTATAACAGCACTCTCGGCCGAGGGTTGACCTGGCGGGAATTTCCGACGCGTCACCGAAGGACAGCGAAGATGCCACGCATCCGCAGGTAGGGCCACACTCCTTCCAAGGAAAAGCGCGCTAAGGGCGCAATGGAAGGGTGGGTGACACTCAAGAGGCACGTTGATTGGTAATTTGTGCGTACGTGAAAAACCAATCAGCGTGCCTTCTTGCACTTGGCGGGGGAGTCACTGCGGACTCCAGAAAAATTCGGCGATCGAGCGACAGATTCGAACACCATTAGATCTCCAGCCGTTCGGGGAGACATCACGCACATTTCGAGTCGCGATCGAACACTCGAGTTACTTAAAACAAGTCGTCAATCGTTTCGTGACGTACTCTACGTTTGCTACGTTCAAGTAATATTCAACAACCCGCAGTAGGTCAGCGCATGGGCGTTCGCTTCCTAAGGGAAAGATCTGGGTTCTCGAGTCTCACGAGTGTAAAAATCTTACTTTTCACTTTTACTTCGCTTGATAAAGTGTCGCACTATTTGATTCGATAAAAACTGCGATTGTAAGCTGGTTATGCATTTACTTTTTATTCTCTGGAAATTTTCAAGTCCCTACGTTTCACCCATTTGCCATTGTTAGATCAAAACATTAGGTGCTTCGATCGTAAATAGTCGAGCACTCGAGTGAAAAGAAGAAGGTTCTCAGGATACATAATTTTAGGTGAAAATGGCCCGTGAACTCTTTCACACAATAGAACTTATTATTTATCCGTAAGAGAATGGGTTAGGTGAGGAGAGAAAAGGGAAAGAATATGACAATTGAATTTCATTCTTGGCACTCCACAGTGGTAGTTTCACTCTGTCGTCCCTAGAAAATGGTGTGTTTGGTTGGGTCAGGGTGTTTTTGAATGTAAATGGTGGTGAAAAGTGGAAGGGAACGAGGGTGAGAATAGCAAGAACCTTGTAGATAGCTAGATGATAGCGATCTCTGGATCCAGAGAACACTTGTGTCGCTGACAGAATTACTTTCTTGGCCAGAGAGACTCATCCATCGAAGAGATCCTTGTTCCAACATCCTCGAAACTAGAACCATGATATCGTTTCTATTTTAATTTCTCGTCGTTAAAATCGGCCAAACTTCTGATATTTAAAAGAAATAAGAAAGAAAGAAGAGAATAGCGAGGAAGAATGGAGGAGGAATCAAAGATAGGTGTGTCATCACGGTTTTCCGTAGGGACAAATAGACGCTGAAAAGACGAACTATGTTTTATGACCGTACTATGGTCTCTGAGCATTACAATATAACCCGCAGCGGACTTTCTTCCACTTGGGGCGAATTGGCTCCTCGCCAGAGGTAAATGTCACGAAGGTGCTGGCTAGGACTTTGCCCGTCGTGATCCTGGATTAAGCAAACTTTTTAGACCACCGTCATTTCTTCCCCTCTGTTCCTTCGTCGTCCCCATCGGTTGCTTCTCTTCGATTCTTCTTCGGTGATTCAGCCTCCTCGGTTTTTTTCTCCAACACGTTCGATCTACCCTTTTTCAAGATCATCTCGGCAGTCGATTCAGCTGCAGTTGACAACTTTACTCGTTAAACAAGAAGTTATGCCACTTGGAAACTTTCTGTCAATAGTGTACACCGTGAGGAAAACGATCGGACATATTCGAAGTGTTAGTCATATTGGACGAAGACAGCTCGGCAAACTTCGTTTATCCCGATAAAAGGTTGGCAGGTTGCGTGAACCGGGTGCAAGTGTTGAAGAACGGTAGCCAAAAGGTGGTAGAAGAATTGAAAGGGGACGATATTCCCGGGGAAGAAGGTCTCGTAAAAGTATCGGGTGTCTGTTTTATCGTCCGCTTCCTGCCGTCGTCGCGGAGAGAATCGAAAGGAGTCGATACACCATCGAGATGAAGGATCAGTTGTCTCTGTTTTGCCAGTTTCCCCTGTTGGCGAGGCTCACAGTCTGACGTGCGTACTTACTTCGCTCTGTGTGTCTTGCGAGGGTACTCGATTGAAAGTTGGAAGATAGGGCTCGCCTTTTAGCCACTACGGAAGGAGCACGTATGATGGATCCTTGCGCCATTGAGCAGATGATACTTCGCCTTTCGACGAGGGAAGAGAAAACTCGTGGAAAAAGAATGTTTCTCGTTCCGGGACACCGGGTTTCCTGAGCGACTGAGGGAATGTTGTGCTTGACTGGATGCTGCGAGGTAGACGGCTGATGATCAGCTTGTCGAACGAGATATCGTATTTATGATGGCGTTCGAAGACTCGTGCCACGTCGCTTTTCAATCTTCTGAAAACGCTTCCTCGCCAAGTTCTGACATACTTCCCTCCTTTTACTGCTTATCCTCGGAAAGATATGTATCAGGTACTACGCAGGTTCCTATGTGAGAAATTAATCTCACTCTTGATTGCCTGTGGTTGGCTAACTCGTTGTTTAAGCTCCGACTAAGTGCTACTCGAAGGACCAGTTTCAGTGAGCAGCACGAAGAACTGTTAACGGTTTAAATAAATGTACAATATGCTGTATATAACGAAGTGAGACTCTGATCTCAGGTCAAAGTACAAAGTGAGCCTCTTTTTTCTAAATGTGAAGTGGAACTATAGTGGACGAAGTTGATGCTGATCTCTCGGCGTTCTAAGCATAGAATAGTATCTCTAGCGATGTTACAAAGTATCTCTCAAAATACTCGATATAGTCTTTTCGACATAGAGACACCAGTTGTGTTTTGAACACCTTTCCAATCACGAATTAGTTTTCCTGGTGCATCGAGACCTGCACCCATTTTGTGCTATCCTAAGGGTGAAGTGCACAATGACCAGAGTATTGAATGCACAAATGCGTGGGAATCCTCCTCTACGAAGCCTAGAACTTGGCACCGTAAAGTGGCTCACCGATAAAGCTACATATACGTATGTGTATATGGTTCAGAGCCACTCTTAATTTGGCCCTCTAGAGCAAGAGCGCTCTTCGTTGGCCGCGAGCAAACCGAAGAGCAAGTGACGTCGACAGTCGTGAGTAGAGTGAGGAGCAGAGTGGAAGTGTAGGCTCGTAAGTAGGCATTTCGTACCCTTCTTCAAAACGTAGTTCTAACTCTTGGTTCGGGCGATCACTACTACATTCACGCAGTACCTCACCACAGGATCGTTGCTCGGATAAGGCGTGGCCTACCGCTCGAACATAGCACGTTGCTCGCGTTTGTCTGACCACTTCACATACAGCTACTTCGAGATCGGCTCTGCTTTACAAACTCCAGAATTTATAGCATGTCTGGTCCCAGCGACCAGGTTCGCAGGCAACGCAACAAAACAGCTATTGTTCACTGGAACGAAATATAGTTGCGACGCGTGACCACTTGAGACGATGCGATAAATCCGGCTGCAGGACACGCCTAACACCCGTTTTATCGCTGATTTCAGGTGGAGGAGGACTGGAAATACGTAGCGATGGTGCTCGACCGGATCTTCCTTTGGATATTCACGGTAGCCTGTGTGCTGGGCACAGTGTTGATCATCCTTCAGGCGCCGAGTCTCTACGATACGACAAAGCCGATCGACATCAAGTACAGCAAGATCGCGAAGAAGAAGATGGCGCTGCTGAACATGGGCCCCGAGGAGGACTAGTCGACGATCCCGCGCGGCTTCGCGCCGCGTTCACACCGGCAGCTGCTACATCGTCGACGTCGTCGTCGTCGTCGTCATCGTCGTCGTCATCGTCCTCGTCGTCGTCGTCGTCGCGGTTCAGTGGCCGCCGCCCATCATCGAAACTGCCGATTTTCGCGTCGACGTGCAAGAACACCCTCTCTCGATCGCTGCCGCTGCCAGAGATGAGATCTCCCAGGACACATGGAGGAACATAACCTGACTGAAAATAAACGAGAGGAGAAGATACGTGAAGAAGATTCGATGGGATTCTGGCTGGCTTCCGGTTCGTTCTCACGAGCATCCGTGGCGTGGATCTTTCCCTCTCCTAAAAGGACTTAAACGTTGGATACGGATCCTACCGTTGGATCTCGGTCCTGAACTGTCTTTTCAGGTGGAGACGAGAGTGTGGGGGAAGTGTCGGTGGGGAAGAAAGGAAGAGCGCGCAAGAGGTATGCTTGCTTGAGTGCTATGTGAGAGAGAGAGAGAGAGAGAGAGAAGAGTGTGTGTGTGGAGGAATGATCGAGATTGTTGCGAAAGTGTGAGAGAAAGAGGGAGAGACAGAGGATGAAAGGTTAGATGAGGAGTGTGACAGAGGAAGGAAGGAATGGGGAGAGGGGGGTGACTAGAGAGGGGAGATAAAGTGCCAAATACACGCGAAACACACGCGCAACGTATTTTTGTAAATCTGGTTTCATACGTAAGGCTAGAGTCGTGCGGCGAGACGTCGAACTGCCCGAACTGCCGATTTTATATAAGAAGTTCACACAACACATACACACGTACACACTTTACTTACACAGAAGACACACGCATACGCGTACGGTTACGAAAACTTTGATACACACGTGCACACGCATACACACTCCGATACGTACCCACATTTACACCTTACCCGTACACGGGTATACAATTGCGCAAAAACGAACATGTTTAACATTTATACGTAATGAAGAAAAGAATTAAAAAATGTGAAACATTTCGAGAGAGCGAGAGCGAGAGAGAGAGAGAGAGAGAGAGAGAAAGGAAGAGAGAGAGAGATATAGGTATATATGGAGAAATTATACGTCTATTACGTACGTAGATATACTCGACGATCTCATAGCGTATGAAGCACAACGCGAATATTCATCCGCATTTCTCGACACATCGTATAATCACGGGGCTGCGCCAGGCCGCTAGCTCGCTCGCTCACGCAACACGCACAACCGAGCACACGAACGTCGCTGAGAACAAGAGGGGAGCTCGCACGCGGCGGGTGGCACACGACGAAGGAGGATTGCTTCCAGTGATAAAGAACGGAGTCGTCGAGAGTTGGTGATTATCGTGCCAGGAAGCGTTTTCTTCTAACTGAAGCGACTGGAGAGATTCGAGGTGGAAAAAGAGAGACCACTGACTGAACATTTTTCTTTTTCTTTTCTTTCTTTCTTTCTTCTCCTCTTTTTCCCCTCCCTTTATTTCTTCGCATTGGAATATTTCTTTTCCCTCTCGTTTCCTCTTTTTCTAGTGATTGTTTGGAACCGTGAGAGTATAGTTTTTCGGACACGATCGGTTCGATTTACGAAGCTGTGCTGGTGAATAGTTCAACCCTTTTCGGTACAATGAACTCCTTCGATTGTGATTTCCTGCAAAAATTTCCGGATTTATTTTTGGAACGAGGTTATGCAATAGATTGCAGAAGGTTGATAACACACTCCTTCGTCGTTCGTGTTCTCGACGAAACCGGGGAGAGACGGGGAATCGCGAGCAGAGAGGCTCGCAAGCAACTGCCAACTCTAGGAAAAGCGGCCTCCGACTGATCCTGTCGGTTCTCAGAGGCGAGCAGGCGATACATTGACACTTCGAGGAGGGAAGATTCAGCGTGCCAGAAAATGATTTTCTCCAATCGAGAGTACAGTTTTCATCCTTCTTCTCTCTGTTCCATCTCGTCGTGTCAAATTTTGGCAAACGTGCTTGAGCATCGTTCGAAGATCATCAAGATAGAGCTAGTGGAATATGTAATCTGTAATTGCAAGATTATCCAGAAACCTCGATACTATCTTAACGGTGATGAGATACGGTGCCCAGAGAGCTAATCGATTATCTCAATTGGTGATTCCATCGATATTGTGTTCGGTTCCCTGATGAACTGGCCTACCTTGCTCAAAATCCACCGCAAGATCGTCTCTGGTGTTCTCGTTTAATCGAACAAAACCTCCAAGTACATTGGAGCTTTGTAAGAAGAATGTATTGGACGATTACTTTAAGTTTGCCACGTAAATATACTGAAGCTGGAAAACTCGCGAACGATTAAGAGAACAGAGGAAGAAAGAAGTCAGAATCGACGCAGAATCATCGGCTGCCATACTTCACCACGTTTCGCCGACGATACCTCGGGTTTCCGCTTCCTCCGTGTCGCTGACTCGCGCAAGCGGATCGATACGCGGCAGCGCGGCGAGGGAAACGGCCAAAGGATGGTAAAGGAAGACGCTGCAGCCGATGTAAAGGGCGAGTGTACGCAGCTCTGCGTTCCAACGAAAACGAGATTTATCAGATATCGTTCCGAACAAATATCATCCTGATACGTCTGAATCTACCGATAGAACACGTCAGAAATCGCCATTACTCTCCTTCGAAAGAAAATCCTACAAACCACGAACACACGCCGTTCTAACGAATTTACTATCGAAACGGACCACGTCGGAAGAATTCCACACTCGCTTCTGGGAACACACGAAGGATCATATCAACGGCCCGTGGATACGAAACCACGAACGATTCGAGGCGTTAGAATTCGCCGAACGACGATCATTATTAACGTCTCTGTGAATAGAGGAGAAAAACTTTATTTCGATACCGCTATATTGGTACACCCGCCATTTTTACGTCGAACGTGTTCCAACGTCTTGAGATCTTCCAGCCAGTCTTTCAACGTATCCAGAACTTCCGTTAAAAATGAAGAAAAAAAAAGAGAAAAAGAAAGAGAATCTAGAAAGTTCTTCGAAAAACACACACACACACACACAGACACACGCTTAAAGCCATTCAGTCTTTCAGAAGTATCGACCATGTTGTATATTCTCCGGTTCGCAAGAGAACTGCGAGCGAGTTCGCGGTGGCCGGACGTGCATCGAGACACGCAACACACAAATACAAACACACGCGTACACACAGACATTGTATTTGTACATCGACGATAAGGAGGAAGAAAAAAAAAAGGGAAAATAGAGGACGAGGGCGGCCAATGGGACGTGTTTAACGGGGGGAAAGAAAGGGAAAAAAAAATGAAACGCTAACCCAGGACGCCCTCTCTCTCTCTCTCCTTGTAAAGCAGTATTAATAATCAATTTATTTGCTCACGTAAAAAGGTAACGGTATGATATATTTAATATTGTGCATAGTAGGTAATTATAAACGAAGAAGGTTTAATCACACGTGAGAGAGAAAAGAAATGAAAAAAAGAGAAAACAAGCTAATCAATCGCATAAAAGCGGAGGACGATTTCACTCGCCTGACACGTGGGTGGTGTGGTGGTGGTGGTGGTGGTTGCCAAATAGTGTGCTGTGTGGTGGAACGTGTTATTATATACATACGCCTGGATACACGGTGAACACACGAGGGAAAAGGGACACGTGTTTTTTGTGTGGATGTGTATATGCGTGTTTGTGTTTGCGTGTTCGTGTTTGGATGTCCGGGGAAGTTTGGGGAAAGCGCGGAGTATGATCCGTGCGATCGAGGTATGATACGTGTTTTCGAGGATTCAGGGGGTGGTGGAAGTGGAGGAGGATGCACGTTGGCGTGGCTTCAATCTCCTTTCGGACAACGCTTGCGGAGATTAACTTTCCTACGTAGAAGGATACGAAGAGCGGGGAGGAGAAAGAGGGGAAGAGTTCAGAAAACTGCTGCCAGCCAATGTACGTTTATGATTTATGGTACCCGATTCGTGGATATGCTTTCACGGGAGAAAGGGATGTTTTAAGAGGTACTTTGATGTTCGTTCGGTTTCGCCGGTGAATTTAACGTCGATTCGAAGTCTCCATTGCAAAGGAACGTCCCGAAATGACGATCGTCGATGTTATTTTAAATTTTTGTATACGGTAGTAGGGAGAAAAGTATTCGGTACGTATTCTTCTTCTTTCTATCGGCAATCGCCTATATTTATTTTGCAGAAAATCGAAATTCTAGTTTGTCCGCGGTTTCTTGTGTTTTCCGGTGTGTAATTTACATATGCGAATTTGCACGGAAATCGATAAATATTTTGCAAGAAGAGTAATAATTTTTAATATATCGTTCAAATTTGTTGTTGAAGAATATGAAATTTGTCGACGTACTCTAATTAATTTTCGAGATATTAAATCAAGTATGCTTACTGCCCGCATCTTCGAGGCCGATTTTCACACCTTCGATGTGGACAATTGCTGATATAAAAAATCACCAATTTTTGAAAGCTACTGTATACCGAAATTTCGTCAAAATCGGTGATTATCGTACCGGGAATTTTTGTTTAAATCGTAGAAAAATCTTACCGTAGAAATTTTTCACCGAAAGAAACTACGAGCTCTCCCGAGAAAAGATCTTTCGTTTCTCTCGTTATTAATTTACGACGCGGTTTAAATCAGACTTCAAACACGGATACGGTAACGTTATTACGCGAACGTCACGGGGCAGCGTATAATGTACGGTGTGTCGTGTTCCATGGGGAAACCAGGTCACGGGATTATACTCCTAACCGAACGATTCTTTTCAAATAAACCTCGTCGAAAAGGCCGCCTGCTAGAATTGATTCCTGCCTCGGTGTACGATTTTCATGAAAATTTGCCCCCGGACACGTGCAATTATACAGATTGACGTGGCTCCGCGATTATACGAAGTAACACGCTCGTCGTTATTAAACAAGCAACGATAGATTTTGCGTTTGAAAGAGATGCAACGCGTTTTCACCTCACCGAGCCCCCGAAAACCGCGGTAAAATATGAAATTCAGCGCAGCTCTTGGTGAATGGA